AAACTTCTGGGGGTCCGCGCAGATTTTTTGGATCGGTGCCGTAGGCCCCCTGGCGGCGCCTCTGTCGCCGCCCCTGGCGCGCTCCGCGCACCAGGGATGGGGGTCCAGCGCCGATCCAAGAAGTCTGCACGGAGACGCGAAGCTGTACGTTTATGACGTTTTTCCTCCAGGTATTTCGACCTGTGCTGGCTCTGGTTCTTCCTGGGGGTTGCCATCCTGGCGTTCGGCGTGGCGTGCGAGTGCTTCGCACCGCTGACGCTGAAGGCCCGGGAGGTCGAGGCGCAGGCCGACGAGGAGGGCGGTGCCGTGTGCGCCCCCGTGCCGTACATCATGGTCCAGGACTGAGGCCTGCGGCCGGGGCGGCTCCGCAGTTTTGAAAGCCCCTCTTTCTAAGGCCAGGGGCGACGTCCGGGGGGGGGGGGGGGATGGGCTCGGGGGGCTGCGTCGGCCCCCAGTCGCCCATGCATCGCCGAGGGGGGCCCGATAGGACGGCCTGCCGCGCCCGGGAAGGCCCATCTCGCCGACCCCTCGGCGACGCATCGCCGATTCCAGGCGGAGGCTCCCCCCGAGGAGCCCGTCCGCCCCCCCCCCCGACGTCGCCCCCTCGCTCACTCCCCCGAGGGTGCCCCGCGGTTCGGTGTGCTCGGCCGCGTCGCGGTCGGCTGTCGTGTCGGGTCGGTTCGCTTCGGTCGGCTGCCGTGTCGCTTCTGCGTCGCCGCGCCCCTTCCTGGCTGCTTGCGGCCCGTCGGTTTCGGTCGGTTTCGGTCGTGCTGTCGGCTCAATCGGCTCTCGGTTGTGCTGTCGCCGCTGCCTTACTCCCCGACCCCTCGAAGCACGCACTGCGTTGCGCCGGTTGCCCTCCATATTATGCTCGTCAGCCTCGCTTCCGCCTTTCTCATCGGCTCAGCTGCTGCTGCTCCTAATCTTCGTTCGCCCATCACCTCCTCATCCTCCTTCTCCTCTTGATCCGTCTCCCCCGCCTACCCTGTTCTCCTCGTCCTCGTCCTTGTCGTCGTCGCCCTTCCCCCTTGCTCAACCTCCTCCTCCTCCTCCTCCTCCACCTCCTCCTCCTCCTCCTTTTGCTCTTGCTCTTGCTCTTGCTCTTACTCCTGCTCCTGCTGTGGATGTTTGTACTTCTCTTCCTCACCACCTTTCTTTCCCTCTTGCTCCACCTTCTCTCCCTTTCCCTCCGCTCGCTCGTCCCCTGGACCTCTCCATTCGTCTCTCAGACCTCACATTCGTCACATTCGTCACATTCGTCACGTTCGTCCTCCAGGCCTCCCCACGTTCGTCCTCTTCCTCACAGGCTCCCGTCCCCGCATCCGTCCCCTGGACCTCTCCAGCAGCGCACTCTGGCCAGGGCTTCGATGCGCATCCTGCCGCGGCGGCGAGGGCCCTCCCCTGGAGCCCTCCGCCCCCCCTCACAAGGCGAAGAGCGCAACAACAACGCCTGCTGCCGCTGCTGCTGCTGCTGCTGCTGCTCCTCCTCCTCTTGTCCTCCTCCTCTTGTCCTCCTCCTCCTCCTCTTGTCCTCCTCCTCCTCCTCCTCCTCCTCCTCCCCCTCCTCCTCCTCCTCCTCCTCCTCCTTCTCCTCCTCCTCCTCCTTCTCTTCCTTCTCCTCGTCCGCTCAAGCTTCAGGGGCTGACCCTCCTCCTCCTCCTTTTCCTCCTCATCCTCCTGCTTCTCCTCCTTCTCCTCATGCCCCTCCTCCGCCGTCCTCCGCCTGTCTGACCCTCTACCCCCTCTGCACCTTCCCTCTCCTACTGCCCCCCCCCCCCCTCTCCGCCTTCCTTCCTCCTCCTCCTCCTCCTCCTCCTCCTCCTCCTCCTCCTCCTTCTGCTCCTCCTCCTCCTCCTGCCCCTCCTCCAGCCGTTCTGGCGCAGGTGAGCGCTTGCGGGTCCTCTCTTCAGAACGGCAAGGGGTCCGCGGGTCAAAATTTTGGCTTCTATCTTTTCTCGTCCATCTTTCCCAGTCAGACTGATGTCCCATGGCCCTTACAAGGGCGGCGGCGGCGGCGGCGGCCAGGGAGGCACTCCTCCCCCGTGGCGCGGCGGCGGCTCCAAGGGCTGGCAGCGGCAGGACTGGAGTAACTACGACTACGGAGGCGCCCGATGGCCTGCTGGCAAAGGATACGGCGCGGCTGGCAGGAGCGACTGCTGGAAGTGCGTTGCATGCGGGTGCGGCAAGACCACAGTCTGGGCGTCGCACTGCAAGCACTGCGGTGCGCCGAGGCAGGCCCCTTCGGCCAGCCAGCATGCTCCTCCTCGCGGCGTTTGGTCTCATCAGCAGGGTCTGCCTCGTGCGCCTGGGTATCACCCCCCAGGAGAGTGGGCTGCCCTCCCGCCTGGACCTCAGCTTGGAGGAACGGCGCAGGGCACGGGCAACAGCGGCCGTGGGCAGGACGCCCCGCTGGACGCAAAGGAGCTCCAGATGCTGGTCGCCCTGGCACGCCGCGCAGGTGACCAGGCTACCGCGGCCAGGTACCAAGGCCAGCTGGACTCCATGGCGGCAGCCTCGAAGCCCCCGCCCAGGGCCCTGCAGGACCAGGTCAGCGACCTGCACCACCGCATCAAGAAGCTCGACGGCAGGCTGGAGGCTGAGCTGGCGAAGCTTGCGAGGTGGCAGGACGGCATCAGGGCGCAGGAGGTTCTCATCCACGACTTATCGAAGCAGTCCGAGGCCATGGTCACAGACCATCGGCAACTGGTTGCACAGCTTCACAGTGCAGTTGTTCCTCCCTCGCTGACGCAGAGGTCACGCCTGGGCCCACTTTGTCACTCCGCGACCTCGTGGACGGGCGGGTCTCCAACATCGTCATCGACGACGAAGGCCTCTTCTCTGTCGACGCTGAGGGCATGGAGGCATCGGATCTTCAAGAGGTGGAGCGACGTCGGGCCGACTTCAAGGAGCATATCGGCAAGGCAGCCAAGGCCCTGTTCGCCGAAGCTATGGAGCGTGCTGCAGTCGCCAAGGCCGATCACGACGGGCACCTCAAGCGCATGGCCACCAAGCGCAGGAAGGGGTGCGACGGGGCCGTGTCGGCTGGGGGCGGAGTTCGCGAAGGAGGCGCTGAAGAAGCTGGGTCGCATCCTGGGGGTGCCTCTGGCAGCGGCGACGCCTCGGCCAGCGACGCCAGCCAGCCAGCCGCCTCAGTCAGCCGAGTTCGCGAGCATGCAGCACGAATTGCGGAGCGTGTTCAGCAGCAGCAGGCGACTCCTGAGAGCAGCGGCTCAGGCGAGCGGCACAGTGAGCAGCAAAATCGCAGCCCCCCTGACGGTCAGCAGGCCTGAAGGGGGGGATTCAACTTTTCTTTGCGTGCAACACCTGAAAGGTGTTCCAGTTCAGTTTTTTCGGAGGGAGGTCGACAGCGAGTGCAGGCTGTCAGGGCCCCTCCTCCTCGTGCCCAGCTTCTTCTTGTTTCGCCTCGAAATATTAGTCACAACGCGCGAGCCAGGGATGCTTCCTTCTCGGAGCCAGGGTTTGGTACCGACTTTGGAGGCCCCCTTTTCCCACCGCCACCTCCAGGCCACCAGTCGTTCCGTCTGAGGGTCGTGTCGGTTAACGGTAACGCCTGGGGGTCGGTGAAGGAGTGGCTCCCTAGTGTAGATGCTGAAGTTATTCTAGTCCAAGAGCACAAGCTTTTGACACAGGAGGCTTTGGATAGAGCCTCCGCCGTTTGTCTTGGCCTCGGTTTCAAATCTCTTTGGATACTTGGCACGACTGGGCCCGAAGAGGGCCCTTCTGCGGGAGTCTCGATCCTGTGTCGCGCCAATCTTGGGCTTCATCGGGCGCCCTCGGGGCTTGAGCTGGCCCCCCATAGGGCCATCGCGGCCCTGGTGCATGCGCCCCAAGGGGGCGTGTTTCAAGTTTGTTCTGTGTACATGCGTGACTCTGAAGGGCTCTCGGAATCTAACCTCGAGATACTGTCGGCGATAGGGGCGGAAGGGTCCACCTGCGGGGAACCATTCCTTGTCGGGGGAGACTGGAACATGGAGCCATCCGAACTCGCCAAGTCCTTTTTCGTGAGCACCCTGGTTGGTCAAGTCATCGACCCCAGCAAGCCTACCTGTCACGCTGGTGCGGGCAAAGTCTACGACTACTTCGTTGTGTCTTCTGGGCTTTCCAAGGGCGCCGCCGAAGTTCGCATAATCGAGGGCGCTGGCTTCTTTCCGCACAGCCCAGTCTGTCCCGAGTTCCATGCTGGACTGGCCCAGATGCACTACCTCGCTTTCAGACGCCCGCCTCCTCTCCCATCGGAAGTACCCTTCGGACCTCAGCCAGATCCGATGGACTTTAAGCGCGTGCATGCCCAGCTGGACGCGACTTTCATTCGAGCCAAGAGAGGGGACGATGGGGTTATGACTGCTCGCCTATTTCGTGAAGCTTATGCGTCTTGGGCGGGCCTTGCTGAACGGGAACTTTCCAGGACGTTCGGGGTTCAACTTCCAGTTTTGGGGTCGAGGGGCATGGGGCCCAAGACCCATTGGAGGCCGATCCTTAGTAAAGACCACGGGTGCGTGCGGTACCCCCAGCTCCACGCCTGCCGCTGGCTCGCTTCGAAGTTCAAACGGCTTTCTATGTGTGTGCAGAGGGGGGACTGGCCTCAGGCTCGGGAAGTGGGGTGCGTTCTGTCGTCTCCCCCCCCCAAGCTTGTGTAAGCCCGACAACCTGTTCCCAGGGATTGAAGCGGTTTTCGGTCGTGTTTCCTCGGTGATTTTGGACCTCAAGGTTTTGGAAGACCCTCTGGAAGGGTTGGGCGCTGATCCTAGCTTTTTGGAGGCTCAGGAGGTTTTGGTTGCCCAAGTCGGAGAGGTCTCTACCCAGGTTACCGACTTTGTATCACAATGTAGCGCCTTCTACGCCGCCAAGGCCAGACGAGATTCGGCGGACTGGCTCACCGAGAATGTCGATCAAGGCGGGCGTAGGGCGCATGGCTACACCAAAGATCCTCAAGGATGGACGCCATCCGCTGCACTTAGCGCTGGAGGCTGCGTGGTGTCCGACCCGCAGGCGCTCCTGGCCGCCGAAGCAGATCGTTTTCGCTATTTGTGGGAAGGGCTCCCTGTACCTCAGAAAAGGCCAGGGAAAGTGAATGCCCCCCTCCCTCTTATTTCGGTTGACACTATTCGGAAGGTTTCTCGCGCTTTTGCCCGCAGGTCTGCCGCGGGCCTGGACGGGTTTCATCTGAGACGCTTTTCGGTGCTGTCTGACGGGGCCTTGTGGACCCTCTCGCGGCTTTTCACGTTGATGGAACTCGCGGGCACCCTTCCCCCGCAGCTGGAGGCCGTGATTCTTGCCATGCTGCCGAAGCCCTCCACTGGCTTCCGCCCCATCGGGGTCTTTCCCAGCCTGTGCAGATTATGGGGGAAATGCAGGAGAGATTATGCGGTTGAGTGGGAAGGGAAACACCAGAGAGAGTACTGGGCGGCGGGGAAATTCAAGTCCGCGTGCGCTATTGTTTGGAGGCAAAGTGCCCGCTCGGAGTCTTCCCGAGCCTGCGGGCAGGAGGCCTGTACTCTCCTCTGGGATTTTGTCAAGTACTACGAGCGCATCCCTCTTGAACTTCTGGCTCTTCGATGCAGGCAGCACGGTTTCCCTGATGCGCTCGCCGATGTGTGCATGGCGGGATACCGTTCTGCCCGTTTCCTAGTGCTAGCTGGAGTGGTTGCGCCTCCTACTTACGCGAGAGTCGGAATCATAGCGGGCTGCAGTTTTGCTGCCGCTACGATCAGGATTTTTGCCCTGCGGGGTTTTGACCAACTGGAGGTCCCTGAGGGGGTCACGTTCGGCGCTTACATTGATGACCTCGGGATAAATGCGGTTGGGACCACCAGACACATCATGAAAGAACTCCCACGAGCGGCTAGGTCCCTCGAGGAGATCACCGAGAAGGTGCTTTTTGCGCAAGTTTCCCCTGACAAGGTCGGGTTGGTCGCGTCCTCCAAGGAAATCGCCAGACATGCCCAGAAACGACTTGGGGGGCTTGGAGGAGTGTGTACTGAGTCGTTCGTCAATATGGGGATTGATGACACTGCAGGCTGTGCCAGGCGAGTCCGTGGGCGCAACAGCAGAGCGAAGACGCGCTTTGCGAGAGCCTCTAGGCGTGCAGGCAGGCTGGCTCGTCAAAGAGGAGTTCTAGGACCGAGGGCTACCAAGCTCTGCACTGCGGGACCTCTCGCGGGAGTGAATTATGGGGCGGAGGTTCACGGGGTCCGTGGCGGAGAGTTAACTAAAGTTAGACGCATGTGTGCCTCCGCGATGAAGCCTGCCTGCGGAGGCCGAAGTTTAACCATTCTTAGCAGGATTGAAGGCGATCCTGCTTGGTGGGGTGCTGTGGCGCCAGCCATCAGGTGGGCCAAGGAAGTCTGGGCTCGTGCCACGAGGGTCTCCGATGTTTGTTTTTCTTGGGCCGAGCTCCGAAACATGTTGCACGATGTTTTCGGTCGTTCTTGGACCTGGGGGACCGTGGGCGGGCCCATCGGGGCCATGAAGTTGTCCCTGGCCCGCCTGGGATGGAGCATGCCCTCGCCCTTTGTCATGGTCAGCGACTTGGGAGTTGAGCATTCGCTCACGCTCACGCCTCCTTCCCTCCTCCAGGTTTTCCTCAAAGAGGGGGTTTGGCGTTCTTTGGAGAGAGAAGCGGCTGCCAAGTACGGCCCCGAAGGGGCCGAGTCTTTATGCTTTGACGTCGTCATCAAAGCGCTTCGTTCCAAAAAGTTTACTGCTCGCCAGAAAGGAACCATCCGTTGTTGTGCCTGTCAAGGAATCTGGCCCTACGCCCGCGCACGAGCAGCAGGATACGAAGTTGAGGACCGTTGCCCACTCTGCCATCAGCCTGGTGACGCGATTTTTCATCGGCTGTATGCGTGTTCGGCGGTGGAGGAGGAGCGGAGGGAGTTGATTCCTCGCAGTGCACTGGAGCAGGTTTTGAGTCAGTTCGAAGGGGTTCCTGAGAGAGAACGGTTCCACCTTACCTCTGGCTTGTTTGGCCACCCCCAGAGTGTGCTCCCGCCCCCTAAGTCCGACAGTAGAACCGAGGAGGATGATGGTATCCAGTTTCAGTTTTTCCCTGAAGGCTTCGCGGCGGAAGGCGTGGAGATGCCCCGCGACGGCCGTCGGCAGATGTGGGGCCACGTTTTCTTAGATGGCTCGTGTTCGAGACGGGTGGTCCGCAGCTCGAATCGTGCTGGTTGGGGTTTAGCGGTGATGGGCCCTCAGTCGAATCTTTTAGCTTGGAGCTGGGGCCCCGTGTGGGACAGTTGCCCCCAGACTCCCCAGACAGGAGAATTCTCGGCTTATGCCATGGCGTGCGCTTTCCTGTCTGCACCAACAGTTCTGTATTCAGATTGCCAAAATGTAGTCTCCATGCACGGCATGGCCCGACATCAACAGATCTCACCCAAGCGTCCTCATGCGGGGCTCGTGGCTCAGGGTCGTTCTCTTGGGGGAAAATGGACGCTTGGGTGCGAGAAAGTGCCTGCGCATCTTCCCATCGACGATCCAGAGATCGACGGGGATGAGCGGTTTCGAAGGATAGGGAACGATTTCGCCGAAATGGCCGCCAAGCTGGGAGCTGAGTCCCACCAGGCGCCGTCGGAGGAGGTAGCTAACGTATGCACTACTCTTGTGAATTCAGCTCTCATGGCGGTCAGACTGTGCGCAGCTCTTCTGCCACTGTGGCCGCGCACGGACCTCTCCCGTGCCTCGTGGTCTGCCCCCGCTCAGGCCCCCCGCTCCTCTGCCTCGCCTCATCGGTGGGAGTGGCTCGGGCCTCCTGGAGGGGACCAACGTTTTTGGATTTGTCAAGGGTGCCTCAGGACGTCGCGCAACGTCGCCGACAAAGAGCCTGCCCCTGGCCACTGTTCCGATTCTTTGAGAGTGGATGTTCGGCGGCTTAGAGATTTAAACCACAAGTGTATCCTCCTGGATTGTTCGAACGGTTCGTTTGTTGTCGTTTGTACTGTGTGCCAGAGATACACTAGTGGAGCCCGCCTTGCCTCTCTCAACAAGACTTGTCCAGGTCAGAAAGTTTCGG